GAGCACCACTCTGGAATATCTCTCACGTCTCAGGCGTGTTTGTGTGAAAGCATCTTTATTCGTGCAGACTGGAGCAAAACGAGTTGTAGTTGACGAAACAGGGTGATTCATCGTAAACGTGTAATTTTCTCATCGCAGGACTCCTGCCATGATAGGCTGCTCCTTCGTGGCCAATCGGGACTACTTTGGCGAGCTCGGTCTTCTGGACTCGGGCATGGACGTGTACGGAGGCGAGAACATCGAGCTGGGCATCAGGGTTAGTGTGTCGCCCAGTTCCCTCTTGTTCTTGATCACTCTTTACCCCCGCAGCTGTAAATGGAGCCTGGCGCCACTGATGGATGGGGCCCCATTAAAGGTCCTGGAGGACGGGTCCGGCGGTGCAGCTGACCGCGGGCCAGCACAGAGAAATAGGTCACACGACGTGGGGACGTTGTGATGTTCTGCATGTTTTTAAGGGTTTAAAGATCTGATCTTGTTCTTCTGGGTTATTTAACAGTAAAATAAGGTCTTTGTTTTGATGTTAGTGGATTGAAACCCAGCAGCTAGGTGTTGTTTTATCTGTTCTCATGTGTTATTTACGTCACAGCCTCCTCTCCCTGCAGGTGTGGCTGTGTGGAGGGAGCATGGAGGTGCTGCCCTGCTCCAGAGTGGCTCACATTGCTCGGATAAAGAAGCCTTATCACAGCAACATAGCGTTTCACACGCGGCGTAACGCTCTGCGTGTGGCCGAGGTGTGGATGGATGAGTACAAGTCCAACGTGTACCTGGCCTGGAACATCCCCATGGAGGTGAGAAACGGCCCGAGGCGGTGCCGACCCTCCTTTATAGACCGCCATGAACGATTAGAGACAGAGCAACAGAAGGCGAGCGCAGATCTAAACAGTCGGATCGTCTTTATTTTTAATTTTTTATTGATCAGGATTAAAAAGGCATCCAGCTCCTCAGTTTTATTTCATTTCATGTCAGTCACCGCTGCATCATTTTAATGGAATGAACACATTTATACAGACGTGCAGCGCTGCAGTTATTCATGAGATTACAAAAATAAAAAAATAAAACGCAGCTTTTGTTCTTCTGACATTATTTAAAGTAGTAACAAAACATCTGGTTATCTGTGAAGCTAACAATCAATTGTATTACAGAACAAAGAGTTTAATGTCATGAAACTTATCATTTGGTGTTAAAGAAAATAATAAATTATCATGTTTGTTGTTGTTGTATTGTGTATACTTTACAACACTTTGGTCCTGTGAGTGTTTAAAGTGCTCTATAAATAAAGCTGGTATGATATGGTATATATGGTATGTATGTATGGTATTTATAGTATGGTATGGTATGGTATGTATGGTATGGTATATATAGTATGTTATGGTATGGTATGTATGGTATTTATAGTATGGTATGGTATGTATGGTATTTATAGTATGATATGGTATGTATGGTATTTATAGTATGGTATGGTATGTATAGTATGTTATGGTATGGTATGTATGGTATTTATAGTATGGTATGTATGGTATGGTATGTATGGTATTTATAATATGGTATGGTATAGTATGGTATGGTATGTATGGTATTTATAGTATGGCATGGTATAGTATGTATGGTGGGTATAGTATGTTATGGTATAGTATGTATGATATGGTATGTGTAGTATGTTATGTTATGGTATGCATGGTATTTATAGTATGGTATGGTATGGTATGTATGGTATGTGTAGTATGTATGGTATGGTATGTATGGTATTTATTGTATGGTATGGTATAGTATGTATGGTATGGTATAGTATGTATGGTATGGTATAAGTATGTATGGTATTTATAGTATGGTATTGTATTGTATGGTATGTGTAGTATGTATGGTATGGTATGTATGGTATTTATAGTATGGTATGGTATAGTATGTATGGTATGGTATAAGTATGTATGGTATTTATAGTATGGTATGGTATGTATAGTATGTTATGGTATAAGTATGTATGGTA